TTCAAATCTCAAAGCATATGACTGTTTTGTAGTTGTTCTTGTTCTGCTTCCTCATAAATGTTAAAAAGCTCTAAGGAGATCCGCATTTGTTAAATCCTCAGTTTGCTCGTCTATTACTTCAGACTCCATTTGGAATCTTTCATGAGCTCTATGGAAATCTGTATTTGTTGAAACCTCATTTTGATATGACTGCTTTGTTGTTGTTCTTGTTCTTCTTCCTCATAAACGTTATAAGCTCCAAGGATATCCGAATTTGTAAAATTCTCAATTTGCTCGTCTATTATTTCAGACTCCATATGGAAACTTTCATAAGCTCTATGGAAATCTGTATTTGTTAATTCCGATTTAAATTCCTTATCCATGTTCATGCCTTCATTTTCAATTAAATTTTTTCATCTTGCTCTTACGAAGTCTTTCATAACTGAATATATTTCGAAATTTAAACTAGGCTTTTCTCTATTATTTTCTATATACTTATGGTATATATAATACAAGAATGTAGTATTTGTCTCAAAAAAAAAAAAAATAATAAGAAAAAATAATTTAATAATCACATAATTATATCTTTAATTTTTCATTATCATTTCCCTGCCTAAAAAATAGAATTCTATAACAAAAACAAAAAGAATGTACTCATATCAAATTGCTTTATTTTGATATTATTTAATACTCAAAATATAAAGAAAGGAAAATAGATGAAATACTTTCATATTTAAAATGTTAACGTTTAGTTGGTGTGATTTATCAATCGTATTTTAGTTGATAAGTAAAAAAATATAAACAGTGGTAACATTTCCATTGTGACAAACAACAATTGATTTTTACATATTCTCCCTAATTTCTGTGTAGCAACAAGATACAATAAACTACATCCATAATGATAACAAGAACACTCGAACGCATATTTCTGCTTAGAATCGATATGCAGCATGACAACAACAACATTTAGACGCACTGGCAGCTCGAAATGTAACAACCAACAACAAATGCATACACACAACCAGTCTCCCTCATATTTCTGCCTAGCAGCCAGATGCATGATAATATTACCCTCACACTCGAATACTAACAAAGATCTTTCTTCTCGCTGTTCATCAACCTCAATGCTTTAATGCATGATCCATAATGAAATTACACTCAAAGTTCATTACCATTCAATGTTTCAATCTATAACACACTTTTCATTAATCTCAAAGTTCATTACCCCATTATTATCATTACCATTCAATGTTTCAATCTATAACACACTTTTCATTAATCTCAAAGTTCATTACCCCGCAATGTTCATCTATATTTAAATTGATGACCTATTTTCCAATTACATCGTCCAGTATTTATTGAATAAATATGATTTTTTTTTTTTTTTTTTTTGACTAAAACTGTTTTTAATAGCTTTTTTGGCTATAAAAGTGAGCTAGAGGAGCCTATTAGATTCTACTAGAAATCGGACCGAAGTCTGATTAAAAAATAAGATTTTCTAAAAAATAGTTCTATAGAAAAATGTTTTTATTTATTTAAAAATTTAAATTTATTTAATTTATTTTTAATTTTTCTTTATTGCCATTTTTGCAAAAAAAAAAAAACCAACATATAATTATAATTAGTAATTAAAAATGTACAGGCGTATTCCAGTTCTGAGTTTCTTTCAGTTTTACACTGTTTGACCGAATTAAATTATGCATGCAACCGTCGCCATATCTATATTAAAAAGAAAATATTTCAAAAATAGAATACGATCTTGAAATCTGTATCGATTTTTATTTGTCTTACCTATAATCCATAATTCTTATTGTCACACCTTCTACAGAATTTAAAATCACTTTTTATTTGTAAGCACGCTTTTGCTTCCACTCCTGAACAACAACTAAAAATATAAAAGAATACAAAGCCGGTACACTGATTTTTTGATTTTGTTTTTATTTTAAAACACAATTATTTTTTACAACGAAAGGGAAACAGTCCAATTTACGTTTACTTCGTATGAACATCACAACAACAACAACAATAAAAACCCAACACCATTTATTCATGTGTAGAGATGGTATTCACCGGGTAAATACCCAAGGTGTGGGTAAATACCCATTTGCGGGTATTTATTTGGGTATTTACTATATTGAATCGGTAATACAACATCTTACACCCTATTTCCGGGTTTCTGTTATCAATTCGATACTTTAACACTAGAAAGACGGGAATTTTGTATATATATTGCCGAAAAGCGGTCAAAATGACCTCATTCTGAAAGAATTTTCATTATCTAAAGACATTTTTTTAAACTTATTTTTTAATATTTTTCACATAATTTACAATCATATAAATCGTTTTTATTATTTGTTTGCGATGGGAGGGCTCACGAGTTTCTCTTTTAGAAAAATAAGAGCGCGAGTTAAATGTTCGAAAAAGAGTAAGTGTTTACTCTAATAGTGAAATCTACTGGAAATATAAAATTGATTTTTACCGATTTGTGTGTTTGTTTGTGTGTCTAGAGTAGCAAACGGTTTTTCATGTAGTTGTACTGATCTGGTCATATAAGAAATTTACTTTATTCAATAATAAAAGTCATTTGGTTATTTAAAATTTCCCAAGAGGTCAAAATGACCGATTTTAGGCAATATAGGTATAGCACATATGAATACAGGAAATGAAAGAGGGGAGGGAGCAGCAACTGTGATTAATATACGTTGTTCTATGTCGTACAAAAAGTCACCAAATTTTAAAAAGCTGTGTCATAATATACACAATTGTTTTTGTACTTGAAATTGAAAAAACGGTCAAAATGACCGCCTTCGGCAATCTAGTGTTAAGGACGTGGGTAAATACCCGAGTTTTTACCCAAAAATTGGGTATAAACTTATTAACTGCCGAACCACTTGACATAGGCGGCCAATATTTTGCATACATGTTTTTAATGTCAAAACAAATTTATAAATCCAAAATGGGGTGTATGGGTCCAAGTTTTGATATAGCCCCCATATAACCGTATCTCCCGATTTAAGGTATTTTTTGTCTATTAGACACATTTTACAACTTGGACCCAGAGACCCCATTTCCCATCTGAGCCAAATTTTGGCCGTCTATGTCAAGTGGTTCGGCAGTTAATTACTTTATACCCAATTTTTGGGTAAATATTCAAAATAGGGGTACCTTTGTATGGGCCAGTAAACGTGGACCTACATATATAAATTTTTGCATGGACATTTGGTACCCAAAAAGAACACTCTGTGCGAAATTACAGCCAATTGGGTTGTAAAATGTGTCTAATAGACAAAAAAACCTCAAATCGGGAGATACGGTTATATGGGGGCTATATCAAAACTTGGACCCAGGGACCCCATTTTGGTTTTCTGTATTTGATTTGACTTTAATGTATGTAACATGTATGCAAAATTTTGGCCGCCTATGTCAAGTGTTTCGGCAGTTAATGAGTTTATACCCAATTTTTGGGTAAAAACTCGGGTATTTACCCACGTCTTTAAAGTATCGTAAAACTATCCATTCTAAATCGATTTGATAACAGAAACCCGGAAATAGGGTGTAAGATGGTGTATTACCTATTCAATATAGTAAATACCCAAATAAATACCCACAAATGGGTATTTACCCAATTTAACGAGTATTTACCCACTGCCCATCTCTAGTCATGAAAGAATTGGAGATTTTCGAACGGAAAATATTATTGCATCATGGCCGAGAGCAAGCCTTCTCACTTTTACGTTTATGTTTTCACATATATACCTTCATTATAATAGTTGCAAGTAGCATATCGCACTTCAAATGTGTTAGAATAAGACAATAATAGTTCTACAATAGCTAATCATTCTCTGTACATGACATGTGTTATCGAAAAGAAAAGTCTCAATAAATCGATTACTTACTTACTAAATCGATAATAGGGCAACACGAATCTATTTTTAACCACCATTTTCCAAAACTCGAATCCAAGGTAGATGATATACCAAGGTATATTTAATAGGTAGCCGCATCGGCCCAGCTGTTGGACAAATAAATGTCAAAAATGTTGTTGTAATGTTAAACCAAAAAATTAAAAAACATAATTATGAATGAAAATCTCCAAATTTCGAATAGCCGACAACCGATGTTTGTTGTATTTTGATATGTCAAAAATATTTTGCCAAAACAAACAGATTGACAAGATTTTTTTACACAAATTCTTGTAGAAAATGTTAATAAAAGTATTGCCAAAAAAGCTATTAGAAATTCGGAGATTTTCATTTATAATTTTGTTTTTTAATTTTTTGGTTCCACATTACAACAAAATTTTTGACATTTATTTGTCCAACAGCTGGCCCGATGCGGCTACCTTATTAAATATACCTTGCGTCTCCCTATTCATTCAGAATAAGGCGAGAATGTGAAAGCGAATTTACATGCAAGATATCTCCCAGCGAATATCCAGAATAAGGCTGAACATGAAGGGTTGCCATCATAAAATTCTCAAATGAGACTACCTTCTGTAATTATGGTGTTGTATTTTTTCAGTTTCCCTTCTTTCTTATTTTAAATATAAGGTTTGTTTGATATCACAATAATATGTAATAATTTCTACAAATTTGGTCTGTTCCAGTACTTTTTTAATAGTAAAGCAAGCTAGTAAAAGTGAAACATTTCAAAATCGCTCTTAGAGTACAAAATAATAATCTAGTAAATATTAGATGGCAATACTTCAAAGTTAACATAATAGCCATGATGCAATAATAAAGTGAAAAAAACATTTGTCTTTGTTTCGACCATCTGTCAGATTGTTCCTTATTTTGCCAGGAAGTGTATCAAACATATTTTGGTTTTAATTTGATATTCGAAACCTTGAATAAATTCACAATTTTGTTTAAAGAAATATATAATAGTAAAATCTCGAAACATCATATGCGCTCAAAGGAATGTCGACGACTGTAGTTACAAAATCTATAGAGGAAAAATAAACCATACTGTTATAAAAATCTAATCTTTTATTTTTATATAATATACATTTAAGACTATAACTAAAGTTCATCATGATCATTGGAGGCATCGTCATGTTCTAAAACTTCTTTATCTTCATCGTCGTCATCTGAATCTGAAGACTTCTGTTCGTTCTCATCTTTTTTCCTTTGTTCTTCATCTTGTTCTTCTTTCATTTTCTTTTCTCCGACTTGAGTATTCTTAACATTGGCCGCAATATCCATTGCCATTTCAATATCATCAGTAATAAGAATATTATCGAATATTGTTCCCGACTTGACTTGCCATAAATCAAAACCGATTGTACAAATTTCCTTTCTAAGATATAAGTTTGGATCCGGACTATATTCGGGATTGTCTATTTCAGGGTGTTGCCATGAACCTTTGTAATTAGGATTATCGAGTTGTTTTGGTTGCCATTCGCCTTTGTATTCAGGATTATCTACCATGGGGGGTTCCCATTCTCCATCCATTTCATCATCCCAGTCTTCGGGTTTTGTGGCATCGGGATCAGGAATAAGTTGTGGTTTATCCCAATCTTCGGGTTTTGTATCATCTGGATCAGGTATTGTGGCCTACAATTACAATTTTTTAAATAATTTATAATTATCTTGTATGATTTATAAAGCTTATATCTTCATATAGTATCAATATCTGAAAATAGAATATTGCTACGATCCCATGGTATAATCACCCCTATTCCGTATGTCGTAGTCGACACAAAACGACGTCGAAGAGAGTCGTCTTTTGCAAATTGGTATTCCCTATGTCGTTGTCGAAATTTATCGATAACTATTGAAACATTTTTGGTATTCCGTAACAATGTGCGACGACGACGATGTCGAAGATTTCTTCGTGATAATTTTTGTTGACGATTGAAGTGTTTGAACAATTTTTTTAAGAAATTAAAAAAAAAAACATGACCGGACAAGAACAGGATACGTCATTCTAGAATCTATTCAAAACTTAATGGAAAATAAAGTGTAAATAAAGAAAAATATATGGGATCTATATATAAATCTGAACCGATTTTGACCAAATATCAATAGGACTCGTCTATGTGCCAAATAAAATTTCATCCCAATTGGATGGATTTTTCCAAATTTCATCTCGTTCGGATGATAATGGTGGCATGTAACTTGTTTAAAATAATACATGGATGGAGGGACATGCATAAATCTGCTGAAAAATAATTCTATGTATATACTAAAAAGTAACTATGGGTCCATCTCGTTTCTTTTTGGATGTTACAAACACATGTACCACGACATAATGTCCTGTGCCACAGTGCGGTGAAGGATACAAACACATTTTTCCACAAAAATATCAAACAAAATGAACAGCTGACCACAATTTTAGAGATGCGTTTTTTGTTTTTTTTTTTTTTTTTTGATATTATCGATAAATAGTCGACATCGTCACATGAGTGTTATGCGGTGTACACACTAGCAAATTTTGCTTGTTTGATAGTGTGGCCTCACATGTTTGTCATTCATCAGGCAACCACAAAAATATGGTTGTTGGACAGTCAGTAATCGATAAAATAGTTGACAGTCAAAAATTATAGTGTGTACACCGCTTTACAGAATACCAAATCAGTGTCGAAGTGATGTCGATGCGAAGTGATGTCGAAAGAGAAACGTCGTCGAAAACGACGACGACATACGGAATAGAGGTGAATAATAGAAGGTAACAGCAAGTGTTGTTGTACAACAAACGACACAACAACGTCATTTGGCAGAAAAATTTAAATAAACAAATTATATTTATCTTCAAATTTTAATATTTTCGAATCCTTAAAATAAAATTGAAAATGCAAATCTATTAAATTTATGTTTCTGTCGCTTCCACATCTTTCCTATTGAGTTATTGCCTTTTAATTGTGTTACACATATGTAAATACTGGGAATTTTGAGTTATTCTATGAAAAATGATTTGTTTCAATAGTAATACGTTGGACTCAAATCAGCTGGGTTTTGCTGTTACCTTTTATAATTATACCATGATACGATCCAATCGAGAAACTGTTCTTACATAAAACACCCTGAGAGGTTTACATAGAAAATGTTATTTCAAGACTATTTGCAACCCGATATTGTAAAAAAATATTGACCATTTTCCCGATATTTTTTTAAAATAATAAAAATTTAAAAATGTCAAATAAACTAAACAACTATGTACATATACTACAATATATATCTAGGTTGGCAGCCGTTGGACGAGTAATTTCGGGTAAATCCGGTATAACAGAACCCACTGCCGTGGGTATTTCATAACTTAGAGACACGACCAGAACCAGATTGAATCAAACAAGAACAATGATATAAATACAAATCTGCTACAACAACCAGTTGCATAGGTAAGTATGACACAATAAGACACCACCTACTTTATTTATAAACCGTAGCAAGACATGCGGCTATGTTCTGGAACTCACGGTGTTTTTTACAAATCACCTCTGAAGTTACGTCCTGTTCTGCTACTCACGTGAAATAAAATTTTTGAACTTTTGCACCACAAAAACAAAAATAAACGTCAGAAATAGTGTTGCAATACAATATCAACCGAATTCGTTATAACATTGTTTAGGACCTTTTTTAGTAATTCCGTTAATTCAAACGATAAATTTTTTTATTACTTTTATACCCTCCACCATAGTATGGAGCGTATATTAATTTGGTCATTCCGTTTGTAATCATCGAAATATTCATTTCCGAGGCTATAATGTAGGGGAGAGGGGGCACCTTTGAACAGCGCTCATAAAATCTTGGTTTAAAATTTTTCCGACCCGCAACCACATTTTTGTATATGGCAATCCTGTTCTCTATCTGCGTAAACCACTTTGGATTGCTTTTTAAGTTGTCGACAAATTGTGCATGGGTGACCATATTTTCGCAGTGTAATTGTAAACTTTTATTCATTTGGTTGTAAGGGCGCAGGAAACATTCTGTGATAGTTTTCTTTCGTGAAACTAATTTTTTGCATTCCAACAACCATTTCAAACATAACTAATGTAATTTCTTTCATACATATTTATTACAAAAAAAGTTATTATAAATTTCCCTAAAATGCCATGGGTGGGGCACCTTTGAACATGCCCATTAAACTCGAGTAAAAAACGGAGTTTTCAACTTTTGGCTTCAATTTCTCAAAATTTCAAATGGGCTAATAAGATTACAAAATTAACTGTATTTTTCACCATATTAATTTTCGTTTTTAAGTCATTTTATGTTTTAATAAATTTTGATCTAAATTTTTTTTTTTAAATTTCGAACATTTTTATTAATTTTTTAATGAATAAATGCATTTCTGATATGTATGAATAAAATACATACATATTTGAACATAAACACAGTAAAAAACCATGTCATTCAAGAATGCTAACCCTTGTTCAAAGCTGCCCCCCCTGGGGGGCAAGCTTAAAGTACGTCATATGTATATTCATTTTAAAGGTACATATGTACCTATTAGTTCAAGTTTAAAAGAAACCAAAAATTATAGAATAAAAATTTTTTTTAACGCTTGAAAGAAAAAAGTGTTCAAGGTTCCCCCCCTCTCCCCTATATATTCTTGATCAGGGCAAAATTCTAAGACGATCTATCAATGTCCGTCCGTCCGGCTGTTGTAATCACGATATCTTCTAAAGGAATTGAGAAAGATCACCTAAATTCGTCGTCTTTCCTCTGCAGGCAGTCAAAGTTCGAAGATGGACTATTATATCGGTCCACGTTTAGGCATAGCCCCATATAAGGTTACCAAATTATGGAATTCTAAGAAGATTTAGCCATCGGTTGTGATTATTCCGCTTTCTAAGGAAATCGTGATAAAATCGAGCCTGATGATAATAAAATATTGGGTTCGAAATTGGCATATGTCGGTCATTAATTAGTCATAGCCCTCATATAATTATAATCCCAAATATTCGCTAATTCCTACACTATGTAATCTAAATTGCAGTAGTTTCAGGATTGTATATTCTACCATGCGTTATTAGTATCAGTCCACGCGTTTGTTTTTGGTGTACATAATGGTTTACATAAACCGGTTTGTACAATTATCAGTATATGACAATGGACACCGCAGAGAGGGATTTTATGACCATTGCTGTGGGTTACCACTATTAATAGTCTCTTAAGGACCTTAACTAAAAAGGAATTTTCAACCTAATGTTATGCAGGGCGTTATAATATATTGTGCAACGGTGTTAAACATCGCCTATAATCATTTAAAACAAATTGATAACCATATGAAATAAAATTAAATATCTGGAGTCATCCTAGACAGAAAACTTATATCTAAAGACCACATACAGGGTACACGAAGAACAGAAAAAAACTGACGAAATTCACAAAAAAAAAACAGAATCCTAGAAGTTTATGAGAACCAAATCCGAAGCTGACTTCACATATAAACAAAAGGGTTTCATTCGCCACATGTTATATTAGGTTAGGGAAAAAGAAATCCATTTTTTTGTGTAAATGATTTAAAACAGTTATGGCCGATGTTTAGCTACTGGGCGATGTAACGACTGCTAACATGTCGGTCAACTTCGATCATTTCTTCGATTTTATCGACATTTTCGACGACCGGCATCATAAACACCATTCACAATTTCAGCCGCTTGGCTTGCATTTTCAAAGAAAAACTGTAAAATTTATCGTATGTACCCAAAAAATAATGGATTTCTTTTTCCCCAACCTAATATAATTACGATGGGCAAAACAGAGCTTGACGCAAGCCTTTCAAATCACTATCATCATCCCAACAGTCAAAATTCGAAAAACGTCAATAATTATTCGGGTGCAAATCAAGCAAAGGCGTGAATGACTTAGCTTTTGTTATAACGATGACCGCACAACAACATTAAAAAAAAAAACATTTGGCAACTAATATCATGACAACAAGTCGCATTTTAATATTTATCAGGATAATGATCCTAACATAAGTCACATATAGAGCAGGTGTGGTTTCTTTATAACTGTATATTCTTTACATGGTCACGAAAATGCATGAATCTCATGGACCGTAGCGAAGTTTTCTAACTGTCCAGAGTAGGTCATAAATCCCTGTCCGAAGACTGGCAATTTTTTATAGTTTTTAATTTAAAAAAAATATTGAGTGAAAATGTCAGAAATCCATGGTTCAGGAAGTATGGACATATATTTTCGTGACCAGAGAGACGAAAACTACCTGTAGTTTCTCAACTTGCTCCCAAAGAGTTGCCATTAAAATCTTAATACAAAAATAGATCTATACTCACCCTATCATCCCAGTCTTCTGGTTTCTTTGCACTTGGGTCTTTAATTTTTTTTGGTGGTAAGAAATCCCAGTCATCTTCCAAGTTTCCAGACTGTACAGTCTCATTGTCAATTAATACTTCGTACGTGTTATCTGGTTTAACAATTAAAGTGTAAAAGTGGGTGTATATATCGTCCTTACAGCGTATATCCTTGTTTATTAGATGATTTTTTCCTTTGTAACTAAATATTACATGGACCTTCTTGGTTCCGGGTCCACATATGTCAGGACCAAACATAATTTCATAAGGCGATTCTCCATGCATGTCAGTTTGATCAAGAGAACAATCGAAAAGTTTTACGTAGCCTCCTCCACAATCGATATTCTGTTCATGTTTTACGGAAAATTGAACAACTAATGGCTTGTTTTCGTTCGAAAAAGGAGAAAATTTTCGAGAAATTGCGTAGAATTTTGCGTCCTGTGATGTTTGTATTCCTGTAAATGTTCTTATATTAGAAACAATATGAATAAAAAAAACAATTTCTTTACCTTTGTCAGCATCTTCATCATTGAAAAAACTTCCAGCACTGAGAACAAATTTCCCAAATTCTTTTCCAGGATGTTTACTGTATATCCACGAGTCTTTCCACGTATCTGTAGAAAATATATATTAGTGAAGTGGATGAGAATATTTACACCCATATATTACCATCAACAAATTTCTCTTCCAAGAAAACTGTGCAAAGAGCACTTTTTGTTAACAAAAAGACAAGCACCGGGAATAAACTAACAACTTTCATCTTGCCACAACGCGTTCAGTACTAAATCTACATATAGAATGAAGTTAATAGAAAATCAAAACCGCATAAATGTTTTGCTTCACTATTATTGGTTGAATTTGATAAGCCAATGAAAAGACGACGAGTTCGATATATTTTCTACACCTTTCCTTTTCTGAATCTTTCCTATATTTACCATAAGTGAAAGAAGTGTTGCCAACCATAGATATAGAAAACGTGAAGACTTGTGACGCATTAACATACGCACCGGCTCATGATGCAATAAAAACAAAAACTCTCGACCACCTGTAAAATTTTTCCTTATAATATTTCGCATGTTTGGAAAAATTGCACATCGTATTCAAGTAGAAATTACGCACTTTGACAGTTAATCAAGACATCTGCTGCTCTAAATGTACTAACCATGATGCAATAATAAGGTGATGTATTAAAAAAATCTTTGTTTTTGCTCGATCATCTGTCAAATTTTTCCTAATAATATTTCACATGGTTGGCAACATCGCACATCGAATTCAAATAGAAATAAGTCACTTTGACAGTTAATCAACTGCTCTAAATGGACTACCTATTTATTGTGCCATGCCCCGGCTTTGGGAGCATGATGTATCAAAACAAAAACGTTTGATTTTGTATTGGCCATCTGTCAAAATTTTCCATGTGATTTTCTATTGAATTCAAGTCATCAGCTGCACCAAATGGACTACCTATTTATTGTGTCATGTTTGAGACCGCAGCGTTGCCAGTTTTTTTCTAACAGAAATCCCCAAATGAAGATATTTAATCCCCAATATACCCGAAAATAATTTATCATCCCTTTAAAATTAAAATTCCTTATAAATTAAAATAGTGTTGTGATTTGCATGCATGTTTGGTTTGTCCAAATTTTTGTTTTTGCAAGTTTTTCTGGGCTTTCGCCAAAGAATAAGCATGACATTTTTGATGAAGAATTGCCAATATTTAGCAGGTCAAAGACTTTTGTGTGAAAAATTACAAAATTTGCATTAAATGCCGTATATATTCAGAAGAACGTCGTCTGGATATGGATATCCATACACAGCAAATTTTAAACGGCTAAAATTTAATCATTCAAAACTGACTTCAGCTATAGAATTTGTTCGTATTTTGTTTGTTTGTTACATATACGATCGCACTTGTTTACAACAAAATTGTTACCACGAATTTTAAAATAAAAAAATAAGATTTCAACTCATGATGTATGTTGTTTTTAAAATTTCAAAACGAGGAATTAATCTATGTGCACCGACAGACTCATTCAATGAGAACATTTGCAATTTTTAGTACTTTATGGCAGAAAAAAATGCCTTGCAAGGTTTGTTAGTTTCTTGTATTGTTAAAAAAAATACTGAATGACTATTATTTTTTTTAATTATTTAATTACTAGACCAAATTTTACAGATGGTCGAATAAAAAACAATGTTTTTACGTATTATTGTGCCATGAACTTGACTTGACATTGAGAAAATATATGGCCTTCTGGCATAACAGAGGCATATTAAAAGGAACTTCAATCAAAAGAAAACTGTTTAAATAAAATCAAAAATCTGTACTGACAAATGTCGCAACAATTAAAAAGCATTTTTTTCATGTTACTACGATAACAATTTTCGTTTATGATATCAAAGTAATTAGTAGATTATTGTAGTACGGGAGCATACCATATGTTATCATTTTCATAGAAGGTAACAACAAAACCCAGCAGATTTGGTTCCAACGTAATTCTCGTGTCAATAAAAATATGACAAATTAAGTTTTTAAAAATTACCCGATAGGAAAATTTGGTACACATAAAATTCTAAATTTTTCTTTAATAAATGTCCTACTGTATTCAATTTACTCAATCTGTCTGTTGGTATATTTTGAAGCAGTAAATCTTTCATCAAAAATATTACATTTTTAAAATAAATGAAAGTTGTTGATCATTTGTATGTTTCTTTACATTTTTCTGTCAAAAGACGTTGACACTAGTATTACTTACAACAAAAAATTCCCATGTGGTTGTTGTAAAACAACCAAGGTATATACAAAAATTTTGTTGTAATGTTGAACAAAGAATTAAAAAACAAAATCTATATATATAAAATAGAAAAAAATTGTTTGTTTGTATGTTACCGATAGACGCCAAAACCGCTGAACAGATCTTAATGAGATTTACACTGTATGTCGGGGCATGCCCTGAAAGTAACATAGGCTATATAAACTTTTAAAATTCCGCGTGGATGCGGAGTTATAGCATCAAGAGTAAACATACCTCAAAATTTCTGAACATATAATATGCGTTTATCTTAAGAACGGTTACAGATACCGCTTTTAAAATTTGACTGAATAACGAAGGTGTGAATACACACCATCCATACAAAAATGAACATGGTACGATCAACGGAAAATTCACTTTTTACTGCATTTTAAAAATCTGCATATTGAAAATTGAAAATATTTTGTTTGTAGACTCTGAAAATGCTGAAAAAAGTTTACTGAGATTTTCACAGAACGTCATAACTTGCCCTGGGAATAACATATCCTATATAAACTTCTCAGATTTCCCGAAGATGCGGTGTTATAGCATCGAACGTAATCATACTTCAAAAATTATGAACATGTAATTTGTGTATATCTTAAGTACGGTTATAGATACCGACTTCAAATTATTGCTGAGTAACGTGAGTGTAAATACGCATCATCCACACAACATGACCGCGGAGAAGTGAAAATGCACACCTCATTGCTTTGTTTTTGTTTTTGGACTGAAAAACCACTAAACAGATTTTACTAATATGTTCATGGTAAGTCAAGCGATCCCATGGAAGTAACATAGGTTAGATAAAATTGAGGAGTAATAGCATCAAAAGTATTCATACATCTTAAAGAATGTACATACATACATATGTCGAACATTTTCTATGGGTATATCTTATGGTAGCGTCTTGAAAATATGGTTGAGTAACATGGATACAAATACTCATCATCCGATGCGGATATATTTTCGAACGATAAGGATATGTATTTATGTATATTGAAATAAAAATTGTGTAAAATTGAAAAAAAAATGTTGACATTATAATTTTCCACTTTTTTCAGTTTGTGAAAACAAGTTTATTTTGAACAAAATCAAACATAATAGTTCCGTTCGAGAACCTAAAAGAATCTTCTAATTTTACAAGTTTTGCAACTTTTTACTCGAAAACCGTCCCTAAACCCACAAAACTGGTAAAACATTTAATAAGAGAGCACAAAACAAAATGGCGTTCTCTTTGTAAACTTTTTACTCGAGAAATTTGGTCGAGTAAAAATAGTAAAAATGAATACCTACTTCTGATTGGCTGTTATGTTGATTTTGAAGTATTGCCATCCCGAAAAAAAAACAAAAACATTGAAGTGAGTAGTGAGCATTTTAATTATAAATCGTTTTATTATCTTGAAAAAGTCAGAGACTGGGATAGGATAAATTCAGATACACCACTAATTTTTTTAAAAAATACCATTTGACATTATAATTTTTGAATTGCTGTTACTTTTCGAAAAAATTGTGTTTCAAGAAAACAAAAATTACCACCATTACAGAAAACAGCATGGACATTTCACACTTTTTTTGTAGTGTTAATGCGAGCATATTAAAATACCAGGGTTTACCTAATTTTGAATTAAATTTAATAAATATTGCAGCTTAATATACGAATTGATCATATCTAAATTTTAATTTGATAACTTCACTAGGGGCAGCGAAGCGCCACGGGCCCGCTAGTTATAAATGAAAATCTCCGAATTTTAAAGAGCTTGTTTGGCAATACTTTTAATGACATTTTCTACAATAATTTGTGTAAAAAAATCTTGTCAATCTGTTTGTTTTGGCAAAATATTTTTGACATATCAAAATACAACAAGCGATGTTTGTTGTAGAAATTGCCGATGCGGCTACCTTGTATATCTACCTTGATAACAACACTTGCTGTAGGAAATGTCTATAGAAAATCAGTACTGACTTACTATCGGTGTTGAGAGTTTCTCTCTCTCTCAGTGGTAAATTGTGTTGGAAAACATTACCACAGGTAGGAACAAAAAAGTACGAAAAGGTACCTAAAATTCTACTTCAAATGATAATTATGGAGAAATAATGGCCAATATTTATACCAGTTATTTGCATAAATAATATATGTTATAATTTAAGCGTAAATGTTTTCACGAATAATAAAATATAAATCCATGCTTACTATAGACATTGTCACCAATACTGTTAAGCGACTATACCCAACACAATGCATTTTACTATTGACATTTAACATGTGCTTGTCATTAAGAATGAACTAGTGACATGGTCAGTAGTTTGTAGATATAGACACAGCGTCACATATGTGGACACGTTCATTAGTAAGTCAATAGTTTGTAGATATAGATACAGGATCACATATGCCACTTGTAAATCTTTTATAACTCGTTTGTTTTCTTCACCAATTAATTATCCAATTACTTTTAATCACTTCAAACTCGTGTTTTTAACAAAATTTCTGTCTCCTGCCGCCAAAATTATTTCTAAAAAAAGTAATAAGAAGAAGCATAACCTTGTTCAGTTCGTTGTTAACATAACAAATGCTTCTTCCATGATGCAATAATAAGGTAATGTATACCAACAAAAACCTTTGTTTTTGTCTCGATTATCTGTCAAATTTTCCCACATA